CCGGGCCTCGTAGTAGAGCCCCCCACACAGAAGGGCAGAGGGGGGCAGCAGGGATTAGCCCTTGCCTGGCAGGAGCTGGTTAGTGCGGGGCTTTGTTTTTGTTTTGTGTTTTTTGTTGTTTTTTTTTTTTGGGGTGGGGGGGGGCGGTTTGAAGTGCCAGGATGGGCAGCCATTGATGGGACTGGGAGAGCGGGTGGGGCATGAGGCCTGTTTGATTCCAAAATTTGGCAGCGGCCGACTCTCCAAATCAAATCACTGTCCCCCAAATCGGCCGAATCCGAATCCAAAACAAATACTAGTAGCTTCGCACAGGCCTACAAGCTACCCATATGGATTTGTCATCCCTGCTTTAAGGCAGGCAGGGTCAAGGAATCTGGTCCATCTTTATGGACTTGGCACTGGACCAACACGTTAACTGTAGGCCAAGGTTTACAACTGTACCATGCAGCACATCCTTTAGAGATTTTATGGCACAGTTTGAAACCTTAATTGTTTTTGAGGATGCTGTTTTAGCTATCTTACTATCTGCTACCCTCAAAAAAAAAAATTGGGGAAAACTCCTCTTTCCCACAATTCCATATAAACTACTTGTATTGACTAGCAACAACCCTCCTTCCATTCTTTGTGGTATCATTAGCAAACCTGAAACATGTCCCTAAGATGCAATATAGCAAATGTATGTTGAGGTGCCCCAGAATTTTTACAACCCTCACAGGAAGAGATTTAACTAAGCTCTGAGGTTTCCCTCATCCCCAGCAAATGCTCTTATCCCTCTTGCTAGGCAAGAGAATCTTAACTAGTATGCACCACAAGTCCCTGCCCACCCACATGAGAACCACTGCCTTTCCAGGTCTAGAGGATGACGGTCACGGTCACCACAGAACACAGCAAAGACTGAGCCCAGACACTGAAACTTCCTCTCAGGAGACCAGGATTTCAAGATAGTGCACAGCTGTGCAGTTAATTCCCCTTATTACCCTCTTCTACACCACCTACTAGTTGTTCTGGCCCAGCTCCTTGCAGAGAGATTGGAAACCAGTTTCTCCCAACACACAATTCCTCTGGTTCAAAGCTCCTTACCTCTTTACACAGTGGAGTCCGCCCTGTACATTTGGGCTGCTGGTAACTCTTAGGCAAGGCTCGGTAGCTGGAACCCAGTCGTTTACAGGAGGCATAGTCTATTTCCATGGCAATTCCCTCTGTAGCGCGCTCCTTGGGAAATGTCTCCATATGAACAGACTCTTTGTAACCCAAGAAGTTTTTAAACCAAGTGAACAGTTCTGGAAATTTCCTATAAAACACACATACGTGAAAACTGTAGCTGCTTACAAGTCAAATCCCAGTACTCTAAAGTATGAAATAGGGGCCGTGCTCAAGAGTGCTCCTAGAATTCAGTGTGGAGACAGAAGACCTTGGCCACTCAGTCCCACTAATTCTCTACACTTGTGCACATTCATCAAGACAAACCATTCTGCTTTTCCGGACTGCTCCTGTCTTAATTCACCTTGTGGAGTTTTTATGGTTCCTTTGCCTCTTTATTTGGTGACAGGGAGGGAAGCTGCTAGAGCACTCCTAATGTACCTTATCAACATGGCCTCATTCATCCATATACGAGATATGAAAGACTATATCTGTACCCTCTCACTTAAAATTAGCAGGAGCACACTGCAGTGTTATCTGCAGGGAATCTCCCAGATTATTTAGGCAAAGAAGCAAAACCAATTTGGTGGGTGCTAATACGCAGCAGACAAAGAGGCATTGAGTAAAGAGAAGCTGTGAGAAACAAATCTAGGATTCTACTGAAAAAAAACAGCTTTTAGGAATGAGTCTATCAGCACCAATGCTTCCACCAATACCCTGATGACCAACTATAAATCTAAAGAGGACACAGGCCAACATGAAAGCATATAGAGATATTTCTCCCCTTAGATTCTGCTTGTGGAAAACATAATCTGACTTGATTAGAGACTAAAACATACATCTATTAGACTCCCATCTTCTCCTACAAAGGACCCCCTTCTATGCCTGTCATCAGTGCTAACTGAATGACTGCTCATTTAATGCATTTTTTTTGTTACATGAGAGAATGATAAAGTTCAACTCTAGAATAATGAAGTGATCTTTATTATACCTTTCCTGATATAGATACTCTCTTATAGCTCCGGATACATAAGACAGATGGGAGAAAACAATTTTTTAGAGTGTTTTCACTGATTTAGATCTACTATCTTACCTTTTTTGGCTAAAATTAATGTCTTACTGACACAAAATTTGTCTAGTTTCACTGAAGACAAGGACTGCAACCTCTTCCAGGGAGTCTCTCTAGGCTGTACAGCAGTACGCATAATGGGGCCCTGATCCTGGTCTTAATTTGGGATCTTCTTGTCTTTAGTTCCCTTTCTGACGTGTACATTAATTCTATTTAAAGCAGTAAGGAATGTTAAACTTGCAGCCCCAAGCTGATGTAAAAATAGCTAGCATGTGTACTTTACACACAGGCCTTACTATAAACTGTTAGCATGGAATTATTTGGTACACTGTCAATGTCCCAAGAGGGGTCTGCAGCCTCTGCCTTTACACCTGAGTAACTTAATGTTCTGGTCTCAGTTTCTGTATAAAACTTGACCTGTACTCTCAATGACCTACTCCAAAAAAGCTCTATTGCCAATTCTTTGATGAGAATGGTCAACATTCATTACCCTTGCTCAGGCTGGGCTAGAAGAGATAGGCATCTCAGAGAGAAGCAGCACTCTGTTCTCACAGCTGTAGGGTATTAGCTCACTGATGTACAAGCAACTCCCTGCAAGCATTTAGTGGACAGGTGATTAAATGAACAGTAGTGTACACAGACACACCAAGCAATGCTAAGACTCCCTCTCAGTTACACACATATCATGCTGCAAGCAGCTCAGGAAATCAAATGCCCAGTTAGTTCCTAGAGCTATAGAGCTCTGGGCCACAGAGCTAGTTGTACATACCATGCACAAGACATTGTTTTCCTTTAAAAAGAACTTACTTCCCAATATACAAACAGACTAGACCCCCCCAGACCCTCCCAACAATGATTACACAAACAAGTGGACTTGCTCAACCTCCACTTACCCCAAGAATGGAGAAACTAGCTGCACAAGCTCAGCACGGGAAATGACCTCCTGGTTAAAAATAACCAGACAGCGAAGGAAATTTTCATATGCCTCTGTACTACGCAGAGCCTTTCGGACCTTACAAATACACAGGGAGGAGGAAGAAAATTAATAGAGAGCTGGAAATGAGTGAGGTGTGCCATGCCTTCTTGGGCTGCCTAGACTTAATAGTATGATCTCCAACTACTGTTCTGGACAAATATTACACATTCAAGCAGGATGTGGCACTTTTAGACCTGGGAGATGGATACAGTTGCCTTCAAATGCCTCCATCTTGTTCAAGGACAACTGAAGGCTAGAGTCAAAGAGGACACAGGCTGGGGGAGCCTATATAAAACAAATCATAAATTAATATAGTGTCTCTGGCTCTCACTTATCTAGTTCATAAAGTGAGAACATTTGATTGACTGATACCATTATTCTACTGAGCAACCCATGTGAAGTGAATAATCAAGATCTCCAAGTAGGAACCCTGAAGAGTGAGTTGTAAGTAAAATAAGGGTCTACACAGAAAAACTTTGGTTAGAGCTAGTTCATGAAACACTGCAAGTAGAAATGAGACTGGCTGTCTACTCTTCTGCTTACAGAAGCAGAAAGAATAACGCAGCCTCCATTTGGTCTGGGAAATCCAGGCAACACAACCGTCTATTGCAGCTTAATTGAGAGCATTTCATACTACAGCTCCAGCGCTGCTTTTCAGCTTGCATTAAAATCTCAAACTTAGTTTAGTAAGCCTCCTCCTCTCCATAAGGGAGGGCTGAATCAGATTCATTTTAGCACCATTACCTTCCCCAGGAGAACAGTTTGCAACTACACATCACATGGAGATCTATCATCATTAGGTTATTCATCATTACAATTAAAATTCTACTATTGGGATTTCTACATTTACTCATGGCAACACCTACATGTTCTTCAAGTAATACACTGGCTTTCGGTTACCATTAGCCAGCCTTCAGTTTGTTGCTATTTGTGCTACATCAATACAGAAAGACAGGATGGTGTCACCAGCATATGAATATGCTAAAAATGCCAATTTGCTTTGGGTCAGACACTCCCTTCCAAACAGCATAAAAACTGAACATCTCAGGAAAGAGGCCAAAGTACTGCTTAGACACCCACACTGCCTAACTGCCTCTATCTAACCAGCAACAGGTAACTGCACAGCATAGCATACACCCCTCTTACAGAAATACTGCTTAGTCAACTGCATTGTAAGCTAAGTTCCCCACACTGCACGGAGCTGGTCAGGGACTGAGAGTGCCAACTCAGCAATGTAGGCCCACTGTGTCATCAGTAACATGAGGGGCCTGTGGGTACGGGGAGCTGGACTGCTATGGGCAGATCACTGTTCCTTCATATTTCTGTATACTATTAGAACTGGCATTTATAACCTCTGACAGTTATGCTCTGCTGCCAGGCCCATCTCCCAAAGGCTGTCAGAGGCAGACAAAGAGCCAGAGATGGACTGTAGGGGAGAAGACATGCACAGCTGCACGAGAGTTAGAAAAATTTTTAGAAGTTTACAATATCAGATTTAAAGACCAGTGGATGCACTTATAAAGTTAAAGCTGAAAGAAATATTCTTGGGTAAAGGCCAGAGATGACTTTTCTGTTTATATTTTTTACTGGAAACAGATTTGCAAGGGTCACGAATCAGACATTTGAAAGTTGGGAGCGGAGAGATGACAGGGGACCCACCAACCCAACTTTTCAAAAATTTGGCCCCTACCTTCTCAAAGAACAGTGACTCTGTCCCCCCACCATGTTTGCTGGCTTCTGCCAATGACTGATCCTTTAGGCCAAGCAGCTTTGGTTTCTTCTGTAAAATGAAGAGCATAAAAGAGAGAGGGAGAAAGAGAAATTCAAATGCATGGCATTTTATTTTGCCTGTCTATCACACACAAGTTTCAGATTCCCTACCACATTACCGTCTTTCAAAGAGTCCAGTGAAAGATTACATTTGAGTTTCTATCCATCTACCTGTCTCCTAAAATTGAACCATTCACTTGTTTCCCCCAACACTTCCTCCTCTGGATTTTATCTATTAGCCTTCCACATGCTTCAAATTTTCTTGTCATTTTTATCATCAGAACCCCAAATAATGTTTAATCCATGTAGTTAACTGCAACATTCACTGTATGTAGTATACCTCATCATTGTGGTTACATGTAAAAGTTCAATGACGACAAACATACTGTTATTTGTGCCAGCACTTCTTCCATCCAACTCCTATCTTGTACCTCCACAGATTTTCTGCATCTCTCTACTTTCCCCGGGTCCCTCCTTTTCCCACCCCACACCAGCAATGTTCATTCTTAAGGAACCAACCATCGTTAGGTGAACACAGGTGAGATTAAACTGCTAAAGAGATGAGTGCTGTGCCTTTTCTTCATAAAGCAAGACACCGTCTTCCACATTTTTACAAGCCCAAACCTACATAAAAGGAGGAGAAGGAAGGGACGGCAAGCTAATTTTGAAGTAGACAAGGCTTTCCGTCAGCCTCTATCTCCTCCTAACCTGGAATTTGTGCCTCAAAAACAAAACAGAATGTAAAACATTCAACTCTACTAAGTTTTCACAAGCTGCCACCACTTCTTAAAATAAAATCATCAGTGGGTGAACAGTGCATGTTCTCACCTTCACTGGAGGGGTTGCTCCAGTTCCCGAGTGCCGTCGGATTTGACAGCCATTTTGGTTGGGTCTTTGCGGCTTATTGTTGAGCTGGGGTTTCTTGACTGTGCCACCATGGTCATTTCTTACAGACTCAACTTTCTCTGCAGTTGTCTTACTTAACAGCTTATTTAAGAGAGAATCAAACAGACAAGATTATCAATGATCTGATCTTGTGGTACCAAGGCGAAGGTGCATGTGTATCCCTTAGCTCTAACAGACCAACGCATTTTAGAAGGGCAATTACAGTTCTAAAAAGAGATCTAGGAATTAAAGTTAAGGATTTATCAGCAGAGAATGTGTTCTCCCACCCTGGCCCTTTTCACCTTTTTAACAGTGCACTTTTCTCAACTCTACTTCCTTGCAGAGCCAGATTTCTAAGTATTTATGCTCCATCTACCTATCAGGGTAAAACTCACCACAGAGCTGTTAGCATCTGGCAGAAACTGCCCGAACTCCGAGAGCAAATCCTCCTGGTTCTTAAAGAGGCGTGCCACCTGCGCGTACACCTCCTGCTCTGTCAAAGCTGGTGTGTAGTTACCTCCTGCCTCCTTGGCATTCCGCTGCTCTTTCTGTCACAAAAAGGGGAAGTGTAAGAGCAAAAGAAACAAGAACTATTACAGCTACTCTCACTGGTTTCTGCTCTCCTTTCTCTGGGGAGCAATACTTAATGTGACTTAAAACATTTATCTTGTAGCCAAGGGAAGTCTGCATTTGTTACCCCTGCACTTCCAGCTGAAGAGAGACAGAAGAATAAAAGATGGTATGGCTGATGACTCCTATAACAATGAAAAATGATTCCAAATGCTCATGGGCCAAATGTCATCAGACAGGCTACAAACAGAGAAATGTTTCTTTCCCTCCTTCGCAGTACCTTAGCCATATTATACACATTACATTTCTGCCCCACGTTCATGGGCATATGGGCCACATAACATTAAAAAAAAAAAGATCCCTTATTTCAAATACTCGCAACTGTAATGACCGACCTAAAAATGAGAAATCAGCATTAACTCTCAAGCAAAGTAAACTGATTTCAAATACAGAGAACCTTCTCGCCTACTAAAATATACTTATTATGCTAATCACCTGTACATACCTCTCCCACAAAGCTCAAGCACAAGGTAATTTTGTGCGTCAAGGAAAGCTCAGAAGAACCTGTATGGTTAGAGCATATTGACAACTATCCACTAACCTGATATGTGTGGAGGATCTCCAGGAAAGCCTTGTAGATGTCTGGTTGCCCCTGGAACCGATTCTTAATCTTGTTGACGTAGTTGATGGCATGATTAAACTCTACTGGCTGATTGTTCTGCAGGGATGGGGTGGTTCCAAGAGAGATTGTCACAGGTGTATGAGGCTGCACAGGTGGAGAGCGTGGTGATGCATATGGTGGGACTGGAGGAGTCTGCTGGCTGGCTGGAGTATGTGCCTGCAACTGTGATGGCTGAGAAGAAAAGACATACTTAGTTTGTCTGAGAGATTTGGGTCAGGGAAATTTATTCAGATACCTAATTCCATCTAATCCTAGGAAGAAAACAGAGTTTTAGAACTCACAAAAATTAGTTACATGCAACATCAAAAAGAAGACGATATGAGGCTAACAGGGAAGCACCTTACAAAGGGTCTTCTTCGTCATCATGTCTCCAATCCAACTTTTCTGTATGGTCTGTTCCTAATATTCTAAACAGGTCACTGCTTCTGGTATTGGTGTTTCCAGATCTTGTGGGGTGCATTATAGTGGGTGCCTCTGTGGGACAGAAGCTCTCATGCTTCTCCTCAACATGCTTTCTCTTAACCAATGGAGAAGCCAAGCAGGGTAGAAAAATTCTGTTATTACTACATGTCCAGTGAAACAGCCTCCACCCACATATTCTAACATGGTATTCACGCTTCTTGTATTTAACAGAGCCATTAAGACTGTTAGATATTTTTTTTCTGATGATGGAAATTAAAAAAAAGAGACTGAAAGTATTCACTCCCTCATTTCCAAGTGCATCGTGATAAGCAGCTCTCTTAAGAGAACATTTCATAATGGTCATCCCAGCAGGCATTAGAGAGGGGGGGGTTGTTCGTTTGTTTTTTAATCTAAAAGTCTTAATTTTCAGAAAATAAGTCAGAATATCAAATGGAGGCACGGGCAAATGTATCTGACCAAAAGCACACTCTACAAAATACCATATTGTCTCATCTATAAACACTTGTGGGAATATAATATACACCTTGTTTCTGAAAGGCAAACGAAGGATCTTTTCTTTTAGTATGTAACTAAGCAGTAAGAGCTAGGGAGCAGAGCCTGCTTACTGTTCTGCACCCTGTGTCCCTGCAGATTTTACTTTGTTTCACAGGTAAGTGGCAGAACCTGCTCTTACCATATTTCCGGCATTGAACATGCACTTCAATTTCTCGCAGCTGTTTTTGGGAAATGGGTGCAAGCTGAACACAAGAAAACATGGTACATTTGGGTTTAAAAAAGAAAATCCCAACCACATACCTTTCAAGTAGCAAGGAACAAAAAACATGCTGATAAGAGAACAACTTTTAGTTTTCATTTAGCCAGTTTTGTCTCATCATATTTCAAAAAAATTAGACTTGCTAGTAATATTACCAGTGATTTTCTCCATTATGAATGTGACCTGCATTGAACAAAGCCCAGGTTTCCCTTTTCCAGTACTTATCTAGATTGCACAAAGCTAAAACAAACAAATATACAAATCAGCTTAACATTAAGGGTGGCCACTAAAATTAAATGGCTGGCCCACCACACTTGCACAAGGACCTAGAGACTGTTTGGAGCTAGTAACTTCCAGCTGTAACAGAAGCATTTCAATCTTCCACTGCCTTTCAGGTTTCAGAGCTGTATCATGGACAGTCTATTACTGGCAATGCTGAAAACTACCTGCCTAAAAATTCCCATTTTAAGAGCCTGCTCTCAGGCTCTTTTTAATTAAAGGCAGGAGGCAAATACCAAAAGTACATCACTTTGAGGGTCATTTAGTAAAAAAGGGCATTTATAGATGAGCTCCAGGAGTGCTAATTAAAGCACCCGAAGTATCACGTGCATCAGCGCCCCTGCGCTGAAAAATGGTGGCAGGGGCCCTTAAACTAAAGCTCTTTAGACAAGCTTCAGTTAAAGTGACCCCACCACCATTTTTCAGCCTGGGGACACTGATACATGCGACACTGGAGTCTGCTCCAACATGCTGTAATTATAGTGTGCTGAAGCACCCTCCCTGCACATGTATAGGAGTTCTAAGAGTTCTTTCTGATATCAACTGCACATTTTCATATTTTATGGTTACATTATTAATTCTCTGCACACACTAGAGATCAACCTCCCTTAAAAAATTTCAGTGGGACAGTACTAAAATTCTCCCTTGCTCCTCACAAGCTCTTTTGAGTCCTTTCACATTTTAAGGCTAAAATACATGATGTTTCAAATGAAACAAATCAGACAAAGCTTATTTTGCGCATTTTCTAGGTCCAATTTGAGCTCTTTAAATAATTATTTTGCCTTAACATCCATTTTTTTGATCACATAATTGGCTGGTCAGTAGCATGTGGATTATCTTGAGGGTGACAGGAAAGGGGGCATACCATCTGTGTTTCTGTGAAGTCCCGAATTTATAGCTTCACAAAATTTAAGGCCAGAAAGGAACATCACTGGCCACCTGGTCTGAACTCCTGCATAATACAAGCCACTTGATTTTACCTGGATTCCTGTATCAAGCTGCTAACTGACGGTAGAATAGCAGCACCTATTTCAGAAAGTCTTCCACCAAGACTTCAAGTGATGAAAAACCTACTGCATTAGAAGTTGTTCCAAAAGCTAGTTACCCCAACTGTTTAAGTTCTATATGACCATTTTGTACTGACAAAAACATTCTTACCTGGGTCTCTTTCTTCGTAGAAAACTAGAATAATCAGGTAGAACATCCAGAAGCCTACTCTGTTCAATGAGTATCAAATGATTTATCAGGGACCTTACATACAAAGCTATCAAGTACAATTTGAGCTGCTCCCAGACATCCCTTGCTTACATCTGTATTGTTCTAATATCTGTATGTCCTCTAGTCATTTCCAATGAAAGGATATGTTGCAAGTTCCTTTCTTAAGTCAGTGCACTATGCCCAAAAAGATTAGTTTGAAAGTGGTTAAAATAAGAGTTTCTAAAGCTTTGGACCCAATCCCAAACTCATTGCTTCAGAGTCCATAACATTTAACATGTTTCCCAAAGCCAGCAATTTCCTGAACAACTCTGCAGAACCATTTCCGTTGGCATAACATGCACTTCATTGTGCTAACAAGGCCTGATTATTTTCACATTCATGCTGTCTATCAACTGGCAATAGAAAATGCTCTCTAGAGTCTGCTGTCATGAGGGCTTATGCTATCACATACACATGCGCTCCCAGCTGCTGCTGGGGAGCCAAGCTGTGACACGTATGCTGTCATTTTTATGAAGTGAGAAAACTGCAAAGATGCAACTTTACCAAAACTGAAATACCCAAAACATTTCTTTTATAAGAAACTAAGGCTTTTGCCACCTCTAATACCAGACCATTTCCAGATTGGAATGATGTGTTTTAATCTGTCTGTTCCTTCTACAGCCACTGACCTTACTGATTTTGGCAGGTGGTGGCTGTGGTGCAGGCTGTGCTGGGGTTGGGGTCGACTGTGCTGAGGGCTGGGACTGATGCTGGGACTGTGGCTGCGGCTGTGGCTGGAGACCATGAGTAGGGATTTGGTGAACTTGTCCTGGTGTTGTCACGTTCACCATGTCATTTGTCTGCACCTCAATTTTATAACCAGGTGGCAAGAAGGTATTGAAGCCCATGATCAAGTCAGGGTGACCTTTGAAGAGCTGAGACACACGGCTGATCACTCCTGGAGTGTCGATACTGAAAAAGAACAAGACAAAAGATAGAAGGGTCTGAGTGCAAGCCAGGCACTGAACAAGATAACAATCTATTATGATTTTTATACAGTCATTGTGATAAACCCAGGAAACACCACCAAACTGATTCCCTTACATACATTAATCAACTTGATTGTGACATAAGACTAAATTTACTAGTACAATTAACACTAACTTAATGTCACCTGGTCTGAGCATTATCTGCTTGCTAACAGCCATACAACCAGATGAATCTGCCATAAGAACTGAACTTGCGAACTTCGACTCCCACTCTGTAAAAGCAGAGATTTGGCACAGGGAGATGTGCTTGCCATCCAGAATAGAAAATATTGGCCATCACTACACTCCCATGCAATCTCCAACCATCAGCCCTGATGGAAGACTTAGACCTTAATACATGAAGAAACAGAATCTCCAGAACACTAATAATTTCTTGTCCCCCAGCTCCCAAACACACAAGTGCTCTCTAACCTAAGAGGCAATGCAAGAAGTTACCTTTGAGATTTGAATTCCTTCATTATATCCAAGAAGTCATTGTAGACTTGGGGCTGACTACCAAACTGCAGCTTTACTTGGTCAAGATACGACAGTGCATCCTCCACCTGAAGCCAAAAAATAAAATAAAATTAAAAAAAAAAATTAAAAATTAGCAAGTTAAAATATGCCAGCTGAGAATGGTCATACACTGCCTGCTACAAGCAAAACAAAACCCCCCCTAGAAAGGCAGCTTCAATGCACAAATGGGAGTAACAAATTAGTAGTCAGATTGTTGCCTATATTACATGACTACTTGAAGGCAGGACACTTGCATTTTATTTCTGTTTCCCACTAGAAAAAAAATCATACTTTTCTACAAAGATGCAATATGCATCAGCAAAAGCAGTCAGTGGGAACATACTCAGAAGTTACCATTTCACCACTGGCAAATCCATTGCTCATATAAAACCAGTGCTGGATTAAGTATTTTTCCTGTGTACATTTGTGGAAATTATTACAGCAATCAAGAATAAGCAGAACATGGAAATGACATATGCAGTGTCTTAGTGTCTGCCAGATACACTTGTGCTGCCTTTTATTTTTTTACACCAGTCATTTCAAATCTAGCACATGACGATTTTGGAAACAGTAGCTGCGGATGTGCAAATCCACACACCTTGGATAGCAGGAGAGAGTTTACAGACAGTTTATATACCAACAATCTGATTTTCTGAGGTGCTGAGTGAGCAGCCACAGCTCTCAGCAGGATAGCTGCATGCTTGTTACCTCAGCAAGTCAGGCCACAAATGAATAAATTGCAAGAGCTTTCCAACCCTTTCCTTTCACAACCAATCTGCTCAGAGATATAAAAGACCTTGCATGTAATGCAAGTTATCTGGAATAATATCTGAGGGCCTAAAGTCATTTCAGGTCTATTTTATGGGAAATAATGATATTAACTAAAAGACAACATAAGTTTTTCCACCAAAGTCCAAAGTCAGAAGTTTTGCTGTTGCTGTTGATTGCTGTAGAACAACATAAACCCAAAACTTAAGGGTTAAAAATAGGCCCCACAGAAAGTATGTGTTCACTTTACTGTTTTTATACGGGAACTATGAAAAAGGTATTTTACTGTTTTTCTAAAAGAAAGGTAAAAGATAGGCATCAATTCATATATATGTTCTTACTACAGCTGATCTGAATTTAACTACTTCCATGGGTTATTTTTGGTGGGTTTTTCCTCTTCTTTTTAAAGACTTTATTTTGTATAGTCCAAGAATAGAAGACTGCTCATTCCCAAGTATCTCCCACATAAAGCAATACATTCAAAAAAGCCACTGGATGCCTTGGTCTTAACCCTTTTACACATGAGATCTGAATTGACACTTCTCCTCCTCCTTTCTACCCTCAAAACCCATTGATGACAATTCCAGGTTTGGTTTGGTTTTTTACTTTGCTACAATATTTGAGAAGAAAATGTGTTCATTCTAAACAATAAAAGAAGGGAGTATTGGGCCTATACAGCTAAATCCCTTTCTTAATTAACAGTACATAGCTCCAGCCTCCACACTGGGAATTCCATGAGGCTGAAAAGACCTCTGCATCTTAACCAGAGAGTTTTCATCAGACTGTCCAACAGGCTCTGCTGAGAGGCTGGGATCACATAAGCTAGGGGTGGGCAAAATGTGGCCCGGGGGGCAGATGCAGCCCACCAGGCCATTCTATCCGGCCCACGGGGCCCCTAAAAAATGTAGAAAATTAATATTAATCTGCCCTGGGCTGCCTGTCATGCAGCCCTCGATGGCTTTCCGAAACCCAGTAAGCGACCCTCTGCCCAAAATAATTGCCCGCCCCTGACAGAAGCAATAGTCAAAGACCATCAATTACCCCACAAATTTCAGGCACAGGTCTCGAACTGTTGCCTGCTCTATAGCAGCATAAAACAGCAGTTCCCAAACTCTGACAGATTGAGCACCACCAGTTTAAAATTGTACAACCTTAAATACCACCAGCACATTTTTCAATTCAATGTTAAGTACCACCAGCAAATTTTTGTTATAAAGTAATTATAATAAATCTGTTAACATGTACCACAGACAGGTTGTCTGCGTGCCACTAGTGGTACCTGTACCACAGATTGGAAACCACTGGCACAGAACAAACAAGAAATTGTAGGTTAAAGACTGAATTGAAAGATTATAAAATACTTCTGTACTATAAAAATACATCTCATTCTGACTTTCCTATCCATGTGGGCTGCCATGTGAACTTACCACACAAGCGCACTGGGTCACAGAACTCTGGAGTTATGATGTTGACAATAGGTACAGAATACAATATATGGGATTCTGTATTCTACACAAAGCCACTACCCTGCCCTCCTTGTGTACAGGTTGACCACCATCCCAGAAACTAAGGTTTTTAGTCACACCAACTCATCTATATTTTTAGCATGGCTGCATTTCATTGCAAGTGCAATGAACCATTAGCTATTGGGAAAGCTCTCTCATGTGGTTACATCAGTCATCTGAGCAAAGGGAACATGAACCAAGAAGATGTCTCCCTCCAAAACACCCTGTGTACAGAATGATAATTTGTATCCTGACGTTACCTTAAGTCTCTGGAACTGCTGTTGCCCCTGTACTGGTGCTGCTGGAGGGGTTGGGTGAGCATGACTCTGCACCACCTGACTTCCATGAGGCTGCACCGGTGTTGTATGATGATGTCCACTATGGACAGTTGCTATGGCAGGCCCATGACTGCCGGAGCTCTGTGGCACAGCTGACACCTGGAGAGCAGAGGAAAATATGTAGCTGGGGGTAGTAACACTTTACCTGCTCTTGGAAATTCCGAACTGGAAAAACTGCATAAGCCAAGCTCATTAGCACAGACTGATACAGTGCTTTTCAAACAGAAGTGACCACACTTCAATACAGGGAGGGAAACTGTTTGTGAAACAAAGTAGTTGCTTATTGCGAAGCTAGATTAAAAGCAGCCTTGGGCTCTACACCTGACTGTTGCCGATTTCCTGCACGGACTCGATCAGATCACTATCTGCAAAATGCATCTGGTAACCCTTCTGCTACTCTTTGGGCAGCTGTATGGCTGAGTGTAAGTAAATGCTTCAGTGTCTCAAGATAAAAGTGAAAAATATAAAATTTTGGGAGGCAGAACATTAACCAGAGCATCAAGGCTAATAGACGAGGAATGGTTTTGAATCTAACCATTTCAAATACCAATCTGACCCAGGATCCTGAGCTGCAAAGAATTCATAACCCAAGACAAAGCAACTGCAAGAAAACCTTGTGTTACAGGAGAGGAATAAACCAGAACCCATGTTCTTGCCTGTTTTCTGACTAGGAAACAAGATGACACCAGAGTTGAATTGTACCTAAACCAAGCTTTGACTCAAAGAGGTATTTAAGTACCTCACTGCCTGCAATGGTTTAGAAAGGAACAATCCTACACTGAGCAGGGGGTTGATTTAGATGATTTCCTGAGGTCCTGAGGTCAATACTTACCTTTATGCTTGCGAGTAGCACCCATTGAAGTAATAAGACTTAAAGCAGGTACTTAATCTTGAGCATATGCTTAACTATATTGCTGAATTAACACCTTAATTTCAAAGGCCATTACTGGTTTTAAAAGATTTGCTCTCATATGCAGAACCCCACCATAGAGTAATAAACAAGAGACTTGGATTGTTTAGTTCACAGAGCAAGACTGTTCATTATTTCCTTGGATCCCATTAAAAGGGCAAGCAGGCATACCTGGTAGCTGGGAGTTACAGAGTACTGAATCCCAGTGGCAGACTGCATGGTCTCCGAAACCGCCTCATAAACAGGAGGTGCTGGAGCAAGCACACGATGCTGGTGCTGGAAAGCTTCAGTGCTGCTAGTAATACGTCTCTGCTGTGACGCATACACAGGTGACTCCTGCTCATCCAATCGCCGCTTCATTCTGAATTCATGCTCGGGGAAGCACTACCAAAACTGCTGAAACAGATCCATTGAGAAATGTAAGTGACCCATTCTCTCCCTAACTGAACAGAATACTGGGCTCATCAACAGGAGGCATAGGAGAAGTACAACAGGTTTAGGGATATTCCATTTAGCCTGCCACTATTTCTTCGAGCAGTAGCCAGAACCTTTAACAGCTCGGTTCTGATTCAACTTGGGCCACATGGCATCAGTGGCAAGGGGTTTTGCCTGCATCTGTGCTGCCACTGCCACTCCCCTCCACCTCCCACTCCCCAGCTGCACAGCTTTTCCCTCCAACTCTCCCTCTTTCCAGTTGTGGTACAGCTCTCCACCAGCTAGAAGCTGTGCCCCAAGGAGCAAGGGGGGCTGGGAAAGGGGGCAGCGGTACAGGTGTAGCTTCCAGGTGCCTGGAGCCAGTGTGGGCACAAACACAGGCAAAGCCCTCCTTGCTCTGCAGGCCAAGTCCAGTGGCTTGGTGGGCTTGATTCAGCCCACAGGCTATATGCTGCCAACTTCCATCTTAAAGAGTTTGAGAAAGCAAATGGCATTGGAATCCGGAGTAAAAGTTTTTCAGGAGATATATTTTTTAAAATACAAGCCTCATGTTTAGAATTAAAATATCAAGGTTGTGAATGGATTTCTTCAACTGACTTGAAGCATATTTTAATTCAGAATATCTTTGATCCTGAACACAGGAAGGTCCCTTTTAAATAATATGAGCATGCAACAAAAGGCAGCAGAAGCTTGTAGCGTTTCTGGCAAGAGCAAGCCACGTGGCTCTTTTAGAAATAGGGAATCTTCTGCAGAAAGCTAAAGGTCTTAACTGCCCTGCATTGAAAGCATGAGCTTTCGATTGTGACATCCCCAGTAACATCACAGACAGGATGCTAGCCAAGCCTGCAGGAAGAACTTTTACAAAGTAAAGTCTGAGGAAGAGTAAGCAATAAGTGTAGTCTGAAGATAGATTTAGGGACCACAATCAGGTTCTCACGATTAAACTCACTAAGAAAAAAAAATATTTCTAGCAAACTCATGCAGACTTGCTGTGAGGTTTAAGTTTGATTCCACATGCCACTCCAACCATTTCTTGCACAGCTCATAAGGTCACTGCAGTAGGACATCAGCATCATGGTAATATAAGCACAAATTAAAATGGCAAGAATGAAAGCCCAAAATGCCCTCAATATCTGTATTGGGAACATCCAGAGGACAGTGAAGAGCATCCTTCCCACAACACACCCAAAATACCTTCCTTCAGTACACAACCAGAAGGCAGATGCTACTGCTCTAATTCAAATAGCCTCTGCATTTTCCCAATTAATTCTTGATTTGTTGTCACACTTTGCTATCCCACTCCTTAAAATACCATGAATTCTTCACTTTATTTGTATGACCTCTGCTTTCATGCAAAGGTATTCAAGAACTGCTGTTTTCTGGGTGGTGATGATTGCTAACGTCGCTCCTGAGAAATTACCATACAACCAAGAGCACTCGCAAGCATACTCATTCTATCTAGTACTATGTCCTGTTTTCCCTCCAGTCAAGCACCTAACCTTATTTTCTCCAAATCAACTATAGTCTAATACAGGGTATAAACTTAAACAAATTCATCATTAGCAATGAAATAGATGGAGGCTGTCCTCCAGAAGTAACCGGAGTCACAAAAATAAAGGAATCAATCTCTTCACAGATCATTTGGACACAAGAATTATGATCTGTAAATTATACGATTAAACCCATTATTAACCAACTGGATAGTGAACAGACTCAGACTCATCGATACCCCTACAAAGTGTGCATATATGCCTAACAAAATTGTTCACTAGAATTGTCAAAATTAAAAAGGTTGATATCATAGGTTGTACACATCTTATTACTTTCTGCTTTAAGCTCTTTCCCACTCACTAGTCTTTAGTGAGATCCCACAAAAGGGAGGTTTTTTAATTGGACTATGACTCATTCCCCCTCGCACACTTCTTCGAGCACGATCTCCCATGAAAAACCCACCACATCAATAAGACAAGGAGGATGACAGTACTAACTACACCTTAAATATGGTGGACAAGCACTCACCAGAGTGACACCCAGAGAACAGAAGACTCTAGGGTAGACGGAGTCAGTTTTTTCCTATTTTACCTCTGTCGTCCATGTCATCATTTGACTGATCTCTGAAAGTAGCTCCAGTCATTATATGAGTCTACTTACTGTTAACTCCCTAGGAGTTGGGAACATTTTAGCTTTGTAGTAAGTTTTACACTCAGCACAGCTGGGATCTAAATAAGTAAAACTAGCAGAATTGGCTATGAAATTTCCACTTGGCAAAAGTACCGTGCAAGACTTCACATCAAGATGGAGACTACATTTGTGGGGGGAGGAGGAAGCAAGTGATGCTCATTTATAATGTGTGCTCAGCAACATGGAACAGCTGAGAGGCAAGTCTCTAAGTATCCACCTAATTTTTGTTCGGTCCCAACTGCCCTTACATTATTTTAAGTGCTCTCTAGGCTTAGTTCACACTTTAGTATTTTAACAGTGCAAAAGCATCCTGCTAGTTTGACAACTTTCATAAAATGTTTCCGGCCACTAGACAATAAATTCTATATCCCATCCCCAGAATAAGCAGGTCACAATGCTTCTGAATCCAAATCTGTAGAGTGTGAAGCAAAGTAGCAACTGCACAACTCTAGCAGACCTAGTATATAGCCTGGTATCAGATTTTGGGGAAATTGAATGGAAGGATCCAGTTGCAGGGCCCATCTAATAGCTCTGCTGTTTGTGTTCCATTCCCATAAAGACATGGTCCCCTTGTCACTTTTGTTGGACTAATCAAGGTTTAAAATAGATGCTGACCAGTAAAAGGACTACGAGAGGCCAGGCAACTGCTACAAGGGTCACGCACCCTTATCATTTATGATGATTAGAATGCCACCTTGGGCAAAAAGCTCAGCATTTTCCTCTGATGAGCTACTCCCATAGACTTCCCACTGGCTTAGACCGCAGCTGGAGTACTGCATCCAGTTCGGGGCGACACACTTCAAGAAGGATGTGGAGAAGCTTGAGAGAGTCCAGAGAAGAGCCACTCATAAGATTAGAGGCTTGAAGAGCAAGCCATACGAGGAAAGGCTGACATATGTGGGACTGTTCAGCCTAGAAAAGAGAAGACTGGGGGGGGGGGCGGGGATTTGGTGACAGCTTACAAATATGTCAGGGGAGAGCACCAGGGGGTAAGCCAACAAATATGTCAGGGGAGAGCACCAGGGGCTAGTCAAACACCAAAACACCCTAGGGGAAAACCAGGAGCAATGGTCATAAACTCTTAGAAGGTTTCAGACTGGATAAGGAAAAACTTCTTCATGGTTCCTGTGACCAGACTCTGGAACAGACTCCCAGCGGGGGTGATGCAGGCACCTACCCTGGAGATCTTCTAATGGAGACTGGATGCACACCTTGCTGGGGTTATCTGACCCCAGCAGTCTTTCCTGCCCAGAGCACGGGGGCTGGCCCGATGATCTCACAAGGTCTCTTCCAGCCTTAAACTTCTGTGAATCAGTGAATGTCTGCCCGAGTTTCCAGATGCAAGCCAAAAACAGTTCAGTGACCAAAGCATTAATTTGGAATTCCCAGACTGACTGGCAGATCAATGTAAAATATTCTTACAAGCCTTTCTGCCTCTCAGAGGAGACAATGATGTTCCAGAGTTTGCTGCATGTGGATGTTCTAAATTCAAATGCAAAAATGAAGTCTTGTCTGCTCTTAGAGAAAATTAAAGATGCCATGGCAATTTCTGTAGAATTCCCTTGGGCCCTCAACATATTTAGGCTACAAGCAATATGTTGGACAACTGCCTAGACTCCAAAGGCTACCTACCATACTTTGCCTGGACTATACGTAGAAGAATGCTGTTCTCTCACTCACTGGGTACAATTTTCCTCCTAACCTGGAACAGTTTTCTCTTTGTCCCCTAGGTAACAGGTAATGGGTTGCTTCCGAGGCTAAATTTTGGGTACTTCTCCTTCCCTACCAGCATCATAGCTGCCTTGGCTCTCTTGCTGAAGGCTCCCTCAGAATCCAATGCTAATATGACAAGCTTGAGAACCTGACAAAAAAAATTAAGCAGATCTCAGACTAACATAGGCTTCCAGAGCGACAACTCTCCAATACAAACACTGAGTTTGACAGGACAGTACCCAAAGCCTCTTTCTGTAGCGAAAAAGAATCTGGAATAAAAGATGCAGCAGGCACGCTCACTACCTGACAGACCAAGATACCTTGCATCCAGAGCAGCTCTATGCACACATCGGAAGGCCATGTCCACAAATACTCCAATATTCGATTGCTCTCAATATTGAGTTTTAGGCTCCAGAAGCGACCTCTACCTCTGGACTCTGTTTACACCTTCCTACAATGTCAAGGACTTCCTGAAATCTGAGGGAAGTTAGAAGCTCATTTGCAAATCTCTATTCCTTTTGCCATCTTTGTAAAAGCAGGTGAGGGCAAAGCATTTCCTGTCCTATTGGACTAAATCAATGAAAGATAACAGCAACTTAGCTCAGAGACTAGAGGATGCTCAAACGTGCTCTGATAGTCTTCTTGCCACCAGTATTCTCTTCAGTGACTGGAGAACCACGACTACAGCTCCTTTCCCACAAGTAAAGCAGCCTTTGAGTTGGGATCCTTTTTCCTCTTGTGACAGATCAAGCCACAAAAGTTTCAGATTCCTAACCACCTTTCCTGGCTTTTGGCCTTCTATGACCCGGTGGCCTTCTATGACCAGGTCACAAAATCCTTGGACACAGGTGTCACAGTGGAAACAGTCTTTCTGGACTTTAGGAAGGCCTTCAACGCTGTCTCTTACCCCATTTTTAAAACTAAAAATAAATAAATGAAACCAGCTTCAGATGTGGATTTCTTTCTACATGCGAGTTACTGCTTTCCCACTTAATTACAGGTGAGATCTGGAAATTACAGATTCACACATCACATCAGCTATACGATGCATCTGTATCCCTAATCTGAAAGATGCACTGAGTATTCAGTAGGACTCCAGAGACAACCCAAGACCAGAAAAGTATCCTTTTCCCCCACGCCCTTTACTTCATTTAAAAAATTAAGTCAGAAGAACTAGGAAAGCAGAACAGGTAACATAATGGACTGTGAGCACCACTTTTATCCAGTCCACTTGGCAACTATTGATCAAGCAGAGGTTTCTCTTTCCTCAACTCAGAGCCTATCCACACTCTCTCCTCCCCCCAAGAGCGAACAGCTTGTAAGCCTTGAGCTGAAGTATGTCATACTTTATTTAGCATTTACCTATGTGATAATGGAAATACAATGTTCCCTTCTCTTCTCCCTTCTCCAAAATTCCCCATGCAGGAAAGATTGTGTATGAGCAGCACACTCTGCCATGCCTGCCACAATGCTTCCCCAACGGGCCTGCCTTGTTTAGTGTTACTGATGGGACATGCTGGGGAGTGTGCACATGCACATGCATCTCATGCTGGTAAAGTTAATGTGAAAACCTGTCGTTCTTCCTCCTCCCTTCAGCAGCACTGTGAAAATCTACCACAGCATGAGCCAGTGGTGCAATGGGTAATGCAGCCGATTATGGGATTGGACGATTGTAGGTTTAACTCCTGCCTGGCTCGTGTTGCTGTTTATCTGAGTCAAGTGCTCTGCCGCTTGCAGTTGCTTTTGCAGATTTAGGCTAGATATCAGGAAAAACTTCATGCTAAGGGTGGCCAAAATTTGGAATGGGCTTCCAAAATGGGAGGTGGTGCTCTCCCCTACCTTGTGGGTCTTTAAGAGAAGGCTCGGTAGGCATCTGGCTGGGGTCATCTGACCCCAGCACTCTTTCCTGCCTAGGCAGGGGGGTGGACTCGATGATCTGTTGAGGTCCCTTCGTGACCCTAGCATCTATGAATCTTATAGAGAGCAGGGTTCTCAGCACATTCACCCCTTCCCTTTCAAAACAGCACCTCAATAGGATCAGTAAAGTGACCACAATCATGTTAATTTGACTGTATTACTACAAGCATCTCCTGGAAAGTATCATGAACAGTCACAGCACTGACATGCAGTGAGGGAGTGAACAGCTCTGACAGACTGGAACTAAATCACAGATCAGGAGCCCGAGTTCAACTAGTGAAGATCAGAAATAGGAAAAGTGACTTTTGGCTATAGCTCCCTGTGGGAATTGAAAAAGGGTGACAGACCAATTACCATTCTTCCTCCTCAAACTCTAATTTCAATGCCATCGCCTAATCAGATGCGTTCTCAAAAAAAACTGCAGGGCTAGAAGTGAATACTGATCACTTATCCCAAGCTTTCAGATGATATAAACATTGGTTTCTGTCCGTAGAGATTACAGATAAATTGCTAAAACCATGTTGGAATTGAAATGAAAGAAAACAATATGGTAACAAGAAGGCAATTTTTTAAAGGTCTACTGCCTTGATACCAGCCAGGACTACAATGCTCTTTGTAGTCCACAATTTTTCTTCAAAAGAGTTGCAAATGAGTGATCAGAAGTGAGCCCCACAAATTGAAGATGCTTCTGACAAGAGACAAGATGTTCAACTTGTGACCCTGGCATGTTTCTCCTTTTAAAGGTAAAGCTCAGCATATCCCTTAAACACTAAGACACTTTGGCTAAAAAAAATATTAAGGCCCATGTCAAGTTATCCCTTGCCCTTTACATACTACAGCACATTGCATGCAAAAGACATGTTCTCACAAACCATATCAAGTTTTAACATGCACTCCCCAACATTTTTAATGGTATAATTATGATACAATAATGCTGACTGTTCATTTGTTACTTTGGCATTTTAACATTAAAGACTGTATCAAACTGTGATGAGAAAGGTTCAGAATCATCATTTAAGCCTTGCTGCCCCCCTCATCCACAACTGCATACTCTGAAAGTGGGGGCCCTGAGTACTTTAGAACTGAAGAAGCATTAAGTGAAGTTTCCTAAACATTCAGAAGAATTCACAGCTAGGTGAAGTGCTGACAGCCCACTGCTTATGAACAGGCCCCATACAAAATATAGTTAAGGCTCTCAAATCCCACACACCTCAATCCAGGTGTAAGGGTAAGCAACAGTGAGGCAATGTATTTATATTTTTTCGTAGCAGGAGGTGAAACGGATGGCCTCCAACGATGAAAATGTAATGGTAACTTGTTGAGAGAGACAATAAATCAATCTTTAAATTAAATTTGTTCCTAATTACCTTCATCACGCCCAATCCACCCCTGCAAGAACTCCCTATTTGGTAGAGAAGGCAAGAATCAGAGTAAAGAAATTAGAAGTGTAGTATAAGAACATATCCCCATTCTAACAGGATAAAGTAACACAAGTAACACGTATTGCAGGTCTCCATTTTCTGTTCTGACTTAAACAGCCAGAAAAGCTTTCCAAAGCAGAAGACTACCAGAACTGCAATCTGGACAGAAAACGATTCATAACTTCTGGAAGCTAAATTGATCCACATGCCAATTTCAACATGATGTTCCTCCATCCAAGACCTACACATTCCACAAGCACTGTATGGAGTGCTTCCTGATCAGCCTGACTTGGAAAATAGCAAATCACCACGCAAAGGAAATTAAATAATATCTATTCACTTCATAAAGTAATCCAGTGTGAAATGCCCTCTAAAACTTCTCATCCCGATTTGTGCTTTCAAGAATTTCAGCCAGCCTATGATTTTTTTGAGTCCTTTCCAAAGTTTGGGGTCTGTATTATTTTGTTAAAATGACATTTTAACCATATGCTCTGCGTAGCAGGAACACTGCTTAGTGCCCAAGACTACCACCATCTAATAAAAATTTCCATTTCTTTTACTAGTCACCTCACTTATTTAATATTTGTCTACCACTAACAGTCAAACAAAACAGTCTCCCAACTATCTCACTGAAACCCAATACTGTTTGGTAAGTCAGATCTGTGGTAGTTCCAAACAGCATGAGATTACAGGCAGACAGGATTTTCCTTCCAGCTAATATACACACAGCATCTAATTTTTAGTGACGACAGG